ACTTTCAGATTCTCTATCTAATCATGATACAAATAGGTTTTTCCCTTGCTTTTTGAGATATGTGGGACATTAAGTTCTTATGTGACCATATCCCTCACATTCATGGCACTGGAAACCTTTCCCTTGGTTTGGATTCTCTTCAAATCTTGACTTCCTTCCTAGGTCCTGGTTTTTATTGATGTCATATGACATGTTCTTAACATCCAACCTAGACTTCTTTAACACCCTGCTAAATTGTCTTCCCAGTAGCACAAGATCCTCAGATACTTCTTCTGAGTTCATGTTTCCTTTATCCTCTGAGTCTTCATTACTAGAAGAAAAAGCTATTCTCTTCTTCTTTTCATATCTTCCATTGATAGCAGACTCAAAAGTATTAAGTGAACTTACAAGTTCATCTACTCTCATAGTGCTTAAATCTTGGGATTCTTCAATAGCAATCACCTTCATGTTAAATCTCTTGGGAAGAGATCTGAGCATCTTCCTGGTCAGTTTATCCTCTGATATCTTCTCTCCCAGGTCTTCTGAAAGTACTGGATACTCTCATCCTCCTTCATCTTCAAGTTCTCAAATTTGGTGGAGAGAAGTTGAAGCTTTGCCAATTTAACCTTAGGATTTCCTTCATGAACCTTTCTCAAGGTCTCCCACGCAACTTTTGCATGTTTACAATTCTTTATCAGCTTGAAAATATTTTTATCAACTCCATTGAATATAGAATTCAGTGCTTTGGAGTTTCCTTAAGATAATGCCTCATCATTATCATCTCAATATTTTTCAGGCTTCAGCACAACAGTGGACTTCCCTTCTACATCCACAACCTTCGGTGGATTCCATCCTTTGACAACATTTTTCCAAGCCTTGTCACCCAAGGATTTTATGAAGGTTTCTGTACGAGGTTTCCAACTGTCATAGTTGGTACCATCCAAAATAGGTATTTTAACCACAATTCTAACATCCATGTCCATTGCACCAAAAAGTAATTTCCTCGAATCTTACCCAAAGTCAGAACCAGATGTCTGCTCTAATACTAATTGAAATTTTGACTATCAGATCGTGGATGTCTTAAGATATGTCGAGACACCTAATCTTACTTCACATGAAATATGGACAAAATAAATAATGCAGAAAGTAAATAACACAAGATATGTTTACCCAGTTCGGAATAACATTCCTACGCTGGGGGCTGCCAAGACAGGGACAAAGTTAACTAGATAGTATCAATTTGTAGACCTCACAATAAGCATCACAGTTTACAGCCTACACACTTAATGACTACCATTTACTTAACTTCTACCTGAGACACACCTAGGTATGAGGCCCTCCTTAAATCCCTCTTCAATTACACTCAACAATTGGAGAAACTCTAAACACAAGTAGAGAATAAAACTGGAATTTACTCTTCCAAAACACACAAAACTCAATGCTTAAAAGCTTATGAGGATTGACACACAAATACTCAATGCTTAACAGATTACGAGCATCTGACTCATGAATGTTCAATGCATAAAAGCTTATGAACATATGACACAAAACTTACAATCCAACTATAAGGATTATAAAACCATAACAAAATACACATGTAAGTTCCACCTAATACTAGGTATACACCAATCTATTTATAACATTATTTTGGACTGAGTTGGGCTTCAAAACTGCATTAGTGAGGTTGCACAAAGTCTGCAAAATCTTCTCCAAGAAAATAGGTCTCGAATCATTAGTTTCCTAAAATGTCTCCATATTTAGAAACCATTCGGATCTTCAAAAACCAACATAAAATATTCTGATCTATCAATCTTGGATGCCACATAAGCTAACTGAATATTTCCCAAATATTCAGTAACTTACAAATCAGCTGAAACATCACCAATAGTTACTGCAGACGAGATGTCCTATCTCCTGGTTGGGACATCTTTACTCGACATGTTGAAAACTGTAAGTTGAAACATCTTGTCCAACATGTTGATGCCAAGTTGGTTTTACCAAAATGTATGTCAATCATAATTTCAGAGAAATAATAGCTTAAAACAATTACCACGGCTACGCGTTGTGGCTTGACATAACATGCATTCACAATGATAAATATAAAACAAAGTTCGGAATGGTTTCAAAAAAATATAAGCGAAAGGTCTTGGGCGAGGGGATTCGAACCCCAGACCTCTCGCTTCACACATAAACACACGAGACCAGTGCATTAACCACTGTGGAGCAATGCCAATTTATTTATTATTCATCTTTAGTTAAATATATTATAAACCCACATTTGAAAAATGAAAAACGTGCGCCACCTGAACTTCATCTTCAACCTCAAGACAACAACCATGGCGATTTTCGTATTTCTTCATTTCTCAACCAAATCAAAAAAATGTAAAACGCAAACTTGCTTGAAATTTCATTAGGAATCCAAATATGTGCATATCATTCATTTATATTAATTGTATCACAGGAATTTGGGACAAAACCAGAAACACTATGTTTTTTCAAAGCTAAATTAAATAACATATATGATCAACCAATTCCTATTTTCATAGGGCTTTCATTCATGGAATTCAAATAAAGAGAATAGTATCAAGAAATGTTCAAAATGATGCTTGTATGAGTGACTTCAAAATCAAGAAAAGCTAACATATTAGAGCAAAGTCCAATGCCTCTTTCAATATTTACATAGATGAAATAGTTATCCTATTAGCTCTCTCGAAGTCTCGGGAAGCTAATGCAATAGCTACTTTGCTTTGAAAGTGTCTCAAATGACCACATCAACTTGCAAGGGTAAATCTGTGGGACTTGGGTGGAGTGAATGGGATGTTACAGGGATGAGTTAATGCATACATAAGTGTATATGGGAAATTACAAGGAATGAGAAATTCGAAGAAAAGGACTTTGGTACAACAATGGAGGTTTATGATTTTCCTCTTTGAGTTTGCGAGTGTTTGAGGGGATTTTTTTGTGTCTTGCAATAAGATGAGACTTTCTATTTATAGAGAAATTTGAGTGAACGAGAGTTGATCAGATTTAAAGTTTACAATTTTATGGTTTGGTTGAAATGTAAGTTGGTAGTTTCATGAGTTATGGTGGTTCCAATGCATAGCCTCAACTTTTCTAGGGTGTTGCTTTTGAGTTTTATGTTAAAGTGTGATCAGAGATAACAAGGTATGGGCTCAAAGAAATATTTGTTGAGAAAAGCAAGCTTTATGTAAATGGCAATGTGATTTTTTGCAAAATTCTCCAAAGTGGCATGAAACATGGACAATGCACCAAACACTTTGTGTAATACAATTAGGGTTTGTGTAAAACAACAATTATGTTCAGATTTAGAAGCAATATGACCTGTAAAGAAATATTACTTGGGATTTGGTTGGGTTTGACATGAATTTGAACCAAAATCTGAATTCTAAAACACCTTCACCATGGCTAGTTCTCTTCTTCAAAACTTGATGCTCAAGCAACATAGATTCATGCTCTGGGTGCCACTGGAAAGATGGTCCCATCCTCTAAAAATTTCATGTTGATCACTTGACTTGAATCAACTTGAATCAATAAGAAAAATGACCACAAAAATTGTAGTTTCAAGCTAAAAAACACTTAGCAAAATTTTAAGTGTTTTGTAATTCTTCACAACTTTGAGACCTCAACTTCCACACTTCATATTTATCAAATCTTATGAGATTTGGAGTAAATTCCTTCTACAATGTTGAAGTATGTAGGATCATCTTCGAGTACATCCTTTAGGAATGAAAAATGATTGCTTGAGGAAGAAGTTACAAGCTTGAAAAGTCATGCACTCAAACATGGTGTTTTTGACACTTAGAGAAATTTTCACTTTCTTCAACTTTACCCTTTTTGCAAGTTATCTAAAGTCTTGTGATTTCACTTGATAAAATTCAAATATCAACCCCATTTTCATGAAATTTATCTTGAGAGGTTCATATTTGACTAAAAATCTCAAAAGTCAAAGTTTGACTTTGAGTAGTTGACTTTTCTAGATGAATTCAAATCTTCCAATTTTAATAAAATCTTGTGATCATGATGCAATCTTCAATACATTGAGACATATTGAGAACTATGAGATTATTACATTGATGACCTCTTGAGTGATGTACGTTGAAGCTCAACCTTTAAAACCCTGATTCCTGATTTTTCAACTAAGGGTGCAAAAACCCTAATTCTCTTTAAGCATTTGATGAATCCATAATGAAACCCTAATGTGATGAGATTGTGATGAAGATGATGACCATTATGAGTGAAAGAGAAGTCTGGATCACTGAGGAACACATGTCATTGATCAATCAACTATTTGAGCTCCTTGATCCAATACACATATCTTTTACAAGAAACAAACAAGACAAATCCTTGTACTTTCATGAGGTTAGTGATACAAAGATGAATGATATGACCTCTTGATGTTATGCAAATGAAGAAAATAAAGGTGGGATCTTAGATAAAAAAATTAGGGTAGAACACAGGTATTGAAGCGGTATTGAGACAAGAGAGCTTTTAGTGCTCCTGTCATCCATTACCTTCCAATGGATCCCAAGCGATTCAGTTCGTGCCACTGTAAAAGAGATCAAAGCCACCTTTCAAGATCACCGTTATCCAACTCTCATCATTTCTTGTTTATATATATATATATATATATATATATATATATATATATATATATATATATATATATATATATATATATATATATATATATATATATATATATATATATATATATATATGAAAAAGGGTGATGAACCCAAACAAAATACAATGGCACAAGCAGTACCATAAAGCGACCAAAAAGAAACCAAAACAGAGACAAAAATTAAGTAGATACACCTATAAGAAGAAAAAAAACACAAACCACTACCAAATTCTACTAACCAAGTCACTAAGTAATAGACATGATTTGGGTATGTAGACACGAATAGATGCATAGTAAAAGAGAAAGGTTCAATAAATAAAAAAAAAGAAAAGAAACGAGATTCTCTTTTATTTCTCACTCTTGTGCGGTATACAATTCAATTATGAGAGAAAATCCAAAGAACAAAACCACAAAAGATCAGCACAACAGGTATGAGATGAACTGCTTTTTGTCCTATTAATGACTTGCCATAAAAAGGAATTTCCTTCTTGGAATTTGAACCATCAGAAACAGACCGTTGTATTAATGGCAATTCATTAGAAGTTGCCATTTTCATAGATGAAGAAGAAGCAGCTTCTACTGTGGCTGAAATGTCAACACAGAACTCATCAGATTCTCTTGCAATACTATATGAATTAGATCGATACATTATTTGCTAGAGAAACGGTTTGAGATGCATAAAAGAAGTATCTAACATATGTATTTATATAAACTAAGGTGATGTGTTGTAAAATAATTTTAAAAAAATAAGAACAATTACACAAAATTATACCAATCAATATGTATTCATATTTAAAATAATTAAAATATTAAAATCAATTTTATAATTTAAAGATGATGAAATTTAGAAGTCAACAAATTAGCAATGGGTTGTGAAGCTTGGGCTAAAAGTAGCTTGTAGAGTAATTAAAGGCATTGCATGTTCATGCATTTATTGGAGGATTCAAAACTCCTTCACAAGTCACTTAAATAATCTCTTTGTTTTCAATAACACGCCATTGTTACTTTTACATGTATATTAGTACTATTTTTTATTTACTGAATTAGAAAGAGTAAATATAATTTATTTTATAAAATTAATTTTAATAATTTGAGTTAAATGTTGCCTAATTTTCTAATTCGAATAGAGCAATATAAAATTAGGTATGTGACCTCACAACACAAACTTTTGGTCCAAGTTTAATTAGCCTGGGCCACTTTCTTAGTGTTGAAATCGAACAATGGAGCATACAAAATTGGTGAATGAATGATTTGCGGTCTTTAATTATCTTTTCGCTAATTCTGTGAGTTTGCATTAATTAGTTAACTTAGGCAATTGAACCAAATTTCTAATTCGATGTGCAATATAGTGGATAGGAACCTAATTTTTCAGTTTTTCAATTTTTGTTTTTGAACCTTAATTTATGATTGAATCGATGGATAATGAAAAGTGATAAAATGGAATATAATAGAATCGAGTGGAGTGCAAAGAAATTGAGATTTCATTTAATTATTTGAATATAATTTAACAGGACGGAAACAAACAAATTTACTCTATTCTATTACATACATCACAAATGAAAATTGAATGATTTGATCGAACGTTTTAGAGGAGATAAATAAAAATTTATTAAAAAAAATTGATCAATTTTAAAAAAATAGAATATCAGGAATTTTTCGATCAACTCAATTAGTTTTTCGACCAATAAAGAGAAAATAGAGATCTTATGTTTGTATTGAAAGTCAGACACATTTTCAAATACACAATTAACGAATCTCATAAATTGTTCAAAGACAATACACAAAAGTTGCACACAATGACTAATTGATTAATTGTAGATTACATGAGGTGTGT